AGGATTGCCTTCACCTTTCTGCTCTAAACAAGAAATCAGTTGCTTTCAGAGCAGGTTATGAAACTCCCCCCATCTCAGGTCAGGAAAAGTTCGTGTCACTTGAAGGTGACCACGTGCTGTCAGTCCCCACAGCCAGAGAGTTAATCGAGCTGTGATAGTCCTGTCTTAGAGACCTAGCTCTCCTCAGATTCCAAACCATAGCACGTTTTCCTTTGAACAATAAATAAATGTTAAAGCCTAAAACTGATGCAGGCCAGCTTCTCACCTGGCTTTGTGACAAGATGCAATGTTTTGCCCTGCAGCCAGCACACAATTAGGAGAAACAGCAATCCTTGCGCATCAGCTGGCACTATCCGAAGACATCAAGAAAACTCCCCTCCTGATGTGGTACCAAACATGGGTGACTTCCACCCTGCTCTGGAGCATCCCTTCAGAGCTGCGTTCAGCAAGGTGAGCTCAACCTGCTCGCCGGTACCACTGGCACGAATAACCTTCTAAAATTAGGCACATGCTTAAAACGCTTCGTCGGGCTCGGGCTCCCAGATTAACCACAGACTTCGTGTCTCCCGGCGCTGCACTCGACAGCGAGCTCCTTCCCACTCCGTCCCCACCCATCCGAGTCTTCGGGGAATGTTGCCATGGATTTCCACGGGACACACAAAAGAGTCCATATTGGAAGAACCCTGTTAAGGTTGCTAGGCGTAAATATTGACTTAACGGCTCTTCCGCCTTTTTTCTTTTTTAAGAACAGATTTGTTGGCCATGGCTTGGAAAAAAAAAATAAAAATGATGGAGTATGCATGATTCACTCTGGCACTCACACAAACATGCAGATCAGTTGGCTGGCAGCTCGCTCCTCTGTTAGCAGAACATCGCTTCTAAAATGTGTCATTTTGTTTTGGCAGCAAGAGCGCCCAAGCCCACAGACAGAGAGATACAATCTCCTACCTTCCACGTACTTCACATGGGGACTGCTGACCTTCCCCCCCCAGCAAAGAACGTTTGATTAATGCTTCCAACAGCATTTTAGTTGAGGTATGCAGAAGGACTGACGGGATGCTGCATATGCTTCACACCAAAAGCCCAGCCCAGAGACATCCCTTCTTGGACCCACTTCCCTAGATCTGCTGACATGAGAAAGGACTCCAGAACTAAATGCAGGTCAATCTTTTTATTCAGAAGTCTTTCCAGTAAAGGCTGTTTTACAGACAATAAATATTGAGACAGAAGAGACTTAAGGTCACATGGGAATTTGGCAGCAGAAGTGAGAGGGTACTCAAGGGTTTTGGTCATCGGATTCATGCTTTCATCACCAGGTTCTGCTTCCTATAGTACTCCACGCACAGACTTTTAATCCTGAATTTTACAAATGTTATTTAAAATACGACTTCAACACTCGACATCATCCAAACCCTTTTCCATATTGATTCTGCCAGATCTGGATGGTTTCGCAGGACTGGCAGGGGAACAAACCTCCTCCTGAGGGTACAAAGTACCCGTGATACTTGTTTGTACCAGTCCTGGACACGGCCAGCACAATCTCTGACTGTCACAAAAAACCTGCTCACCACACACAGAGGCATGAGCAGCTCACCTGGGAGCTGGCAGAGGCTGCAGGGAATATATTCAGGATTCCCCAGTAGACCCTCATTTGACATACAACCAGGGGAACTCAGGAAGAGTTGCATTTCACAGCACTCGGCAGATGTCTACCAGAAAGCAAGTATCTCATCAGGAGGAAGACAAATCTAATGACTAAATATAGAAAGAAAAAGTCCAGTGTCAGACAAGAGATCCTTCTCTAAAGGATCACAAGGAGTTCTATTACAAAAGATCACAAGGAGACTCCACCACCTCCCTGGAATAGGCTGCCCGGGGAGGTGGTGGAGTCTCCTTCTCTGGAGACATTCAAAACCCACCTGGACATGTTCCTGTGCAACCTGCTTTGGGTGGACCTGCTTTGGCAGGGGGGTTGGACTAGATGATCTCCAGAGGTCCCTTCTGACCTTGTATGATTCTGTGATTGAGTTTGGCTGCATTTCAGCTGTGGAGGGTGTCCTTTGGGACTTTTACTCCATTGGAGTTTAAGCACCCCGAAAGGCATAATGCAAAACCAGGATCAACACACATGCACATTTATATTTGCTTTGCATCCATCCCCTGTGGCTCTACACCTTCCTCTCGGGGAACAGGGACCCACTTCTCCTGCCAGGTGTCCTCTGTGCACATCCCCTTCAGAAGCAGTAGTTCAGTGCGTGGCACGTTAAGGCACTGGCACCTCAGAGCCAAGCAGGGCAGCCCAGGGCTCTGGCATCCTCCCCACTAATTAAGACAACACACAAACTAGCCATCCCCGCTCAGTATTAAGCTACCAGAAACAAAAGCGAGGCCACTTAGATACCTTTGGAGCTTAGCAACAGCGAAGCTCAGGATCCACTCCACCTCTCTTAAATCTATTCTTACTGACAGCTTTTGAAGCAGAGAATTCGCTGAACAAAGGAACAGGTTGATATCCCCTCTTCCTCAACTATAGGCAGAACCAGTTTGTTATTTTCTAAGCATATTTCTAAGCGTTTCCTTGGTGGCACATACAAATTCAATACTGTGTCTGCTAGAAAAGATGTCTATTTTCAGAATAAATACAAAGACATGCAAAGTTTGGGTTAGCAACAGCTAAGTAGAAGACATCACACGATAGAAAAGGAAAAATCTCTCTTAAGGTTTTAACCTGCATAGGACAGGAGACCAAGTAGACCTAATTCTACGAAATTAAGGAATTTTATATCCGCTCACTCACTCTCCTGCCCTTGCAGCTGGAATAGCACAGCCCGGGTGCTGCCTCAATGATTTCTCTGCTCGCCAGCCTAAGGTCAAGGCTGATGCATGGCAACCCTTACTGCATGCCAATATCACCGCTCTTGTGCCTGCACACGAGCACCAAGGGACAGACAGAATATAGAAAGGCTGTTTCAAGCTGCCAGTTATTGGCCGTTACCGCCTGGTTATGGAGATGGCAATGGTTGAGCTTTATGACAGGTTCTCAATAACACTGCACTGCAAGCCAACATGCTGCATTTCTCACCAGGTTTATGTTGTAGTGACCTGATATGGGTCCAGCAACGGGAAAGCAACTGCAACAAATGTTTGGAGCCCCATTTATGTCCCCCCCACTCAAAAGGAACCCCTCTGCTTACTGAGATGGCTGAGTTTGCCCTTGAACCTGCTCCTTGGACTTAGGCTCTCTGAGCATTTAGTTCAGAAGTATCTAGCTAGTTTTAAAGATTTAGGATAAATTTTGTCACATGCTGCCCAGATGATAAGCCTGATATCAGGTTTCACATGAACAAGAACTTTTAGAACTTTAAAACAAGCCACAGGGACCAATCCTAAAGGGACCAATCTCTTCCCATTACCTAGAAAGAAAGTCGAGGGTGATGGGTTCAGATCTAAGTGTCTCAAGTTAGGTGAGATCATTCCTACTTTCAGGACATAAGGTGAGGAAGAGGTAAGAATCAAGCCTCTAATGACTACACTGACTTCAAAGCAGTCCTGAGCTAACCTTTTCTTATCCACATCTTCCAGCCATGTTCAGGAAAAAATACACACTGTGGACAACGCTGATAAAATAGAAGTTAGCCTGGAAAGCCTCTTCCAGAAGTGGCAGGGCTACCACCACCTCCCATAACAAGCAAGTAGCATGCCATAATTTTACAGCAATTAGTACAAGGACTGTTTTAAGCACTTGGAAATAACAACCTGGGTCCTGGTCTCCTCAAAGCCAGTGACCCAACTGCTGACATTATTAGTAGATAATGTCCTTTTAGGGTATCGTAGGCTTTACTCCAGCCTAACTCCACTTTCCCACTTTGTAGTTCTGGCTCTACTAATACAAAAGAAAGTGGAGTAGAGTTCTTCAGGGGTCAGCGTTGGGATCAGCGTTGTTTCACATCTTTGCTGGTGACACAGACAGTGGGATCAAGTGCACCCTCAGCAAGTTTGCTGATGATACCAAGCCACATGGAGTAGCTGACCCACTGGAGGGAAAAGATCCCATGCAAACCTCATGAAGTTCAACCAAGCCAATTGCAAGGTCCTGCACCTGGGTCACGGCAATCCCAGGCACAAACACAGTCTGGGTGCAGAATGGATTGAGAGCAGCCCTGAATAGAAGGACTTGGGGGTGTTGGTGGATGAGAAACTCAACATTCACTGCCAATATCCACTCACAGCCCAGAAAGCCAACTGCATCCTAGGCTGCATCAAAAGAAGTGTGGCCAGCAGATTGAGGGAGATGTTTCTGCCCCTCTACTCCGCTCTGGTGAGACCCCACCTTGAGTACTGCATCAGGCTCTAGAGCCCCCAACATGAGGAGGACATGGACCTGTTGGAACGGGTCCAGAGGAGGCCATGAAGAGGGCTGGAGCACCTCTGTTATGAAGACTGGCTGATGGAGTTGGGGATGTTCAGCCTGGAGAAGAGAAGGCTCCAGGGAGACCATACAGAAGCCTTCCAGTAAGTAAAGGGGGCCTACAGGAGAGATGGGGAGGGACTCCTTATCAGGGAGTGGAGCAATAAGACGAGGGGTAATGGTTTTAAACTGAAAGAGGGTAGACTTAGATGAGATATTAGGAAGACATTCTTTCCTGTGAGGGTGGTGAGACACTGGAACAGGTTGCCCAGAGAAGCTGTGGATGCCCCTTCCCTGGAGGTGTTCAAGGCCAGGCTGGATGGAGCTTTGAGCAACCTGGTCTGGTGAGAGGTGTCCCTGCCCATGGCAGGAAGGTTGGAACTGGATGATCTTTAAAGTCTCTTCCAACCCAAACCATTCTATGATTCTACAAAAACCAGAGCATTTTTAGCATCATTTAAACTCGGGTGATCTTGTCTGCCTGTGAAAGGCTAAACAATCTGTCAGTCACATTTGTCAATTATTGTTCCTGTTCCTTAAAAGCAGGAGTCTAACTGAAGCGAAGCAGCAGAAAGGAAGGGCTGGTACTTACTTTCTCAGGACTGCAATTTCATTTTCTATGCTGCTTTCCTTTCCCTTCAGGGCCTTCTTGGGAATGCACTTGACGGCAAAGAGTTTCCCACTTGCTCTCTCTTCAGCCAAAACAACTTCAGAGAACGCACCTCTGAAAGAAGAAAAGAAAAATCCTGCTTTTAGTTGGTGCCTTTTTTTTTTTTGGAAGCTGTTAGCTGAAACATAACCAGTGAATATAGTTCTTCTGGTGTCTTTTGACAGCCGCTCTTGTTAATCACAGCAATGACATTATGAGCATCTTTCTTTGCCTTTTCAAACACACACAGACATTCACATTCATGCAAAACATTAAAGGCTTGCCAAATACAACAGTTTTAATAAAGAACCATAGTCCAGAAGAGGTACGAGCAAAGCTTGACAATCAGAAAGCACCATTTCCACACACAGGCGGATGGACAGTTGTCCGGCTGCTGATTTCACGGATGATGTACTTTTTCCCTTGTTGAAGTTTTAGGCTGTTTACTTCAGATAGCAGCCCAAGGTCCCTAGGACTAGATGATGTACCAGTGCCAAGAGGGCTCCCAGTTCCTCAATGGCCACAAGAGGTCAGGGCCTCCGCTTTGGTCCTCCCTGGCAGCCCAGAGCATCTCCTCACCATTGGCTCAACCCTGACTCAGATGGGGAAGCAGCGTCAGGATTTCTCTATGTACACAGAGTTGTTCCACAACACAAACTGCAGCGTGTGTAATCGCTAAAGCCAAAGAATCGGATTAAATCACAAGCCCAAACGTCGGCCTTAATAGAAGCCTCCCTACGGTTACCCCAGAGAGGATTACACAAATAAAGAAACTTCATCACAGCAGCCAGTCACTAATTGCCAAGAGTGGGCAGTGCTTCTCCTTCATTAGGTTATTCCATAACACTGTATTATTTCTTGCCTTCTCATCGCTTCCTCCAAGCATCTGGACCTTACTGGGGAGAAGCCAGGAAAATGTTACAGTCAGTGCTATATACACTTTTTTTCTGTACTCATACTGTTTTCTGAGCATTTGAGAATCATTTAGATGTTGCTGGTCCTGGATGGACCTTTGTTCTGCCACAGCAGGGCCACCCATGTTCCAGTGCTCGTTACTGGTTTAGTAGAGAGGTGCTGGGCAAGAGAGAGCAGTGGCTTGGTGAGGAACAGCAAATCTTTGTTCACATTCACCAAAACCTCCTCCTGAAGCACTCGCTTTGTCCAACAGACAGAGCCAAGCACTTGTCTAACCAGATCCCAACTGGGGGGATTCACCAGCTTAAGGATCATATTTTATTTACACAAAATAACAAGAGGCAGGACACTTGCCTTCATTCCCTCCCCACCTCCATCAGTAGATTGCTCTGCTCTTCTACATAGCGCTCTGTGAACAGGGCTCAGCAACAGCCTGAGCAAACCCAACCACGCTCCAGCCCACTCTTAAAACGTTCATGTTTGATCACAGCCTCATTGGGTACCACCAACTTTCTCTGACTTTCATTCTCCACAACTGCCGCTTATCTAGATGTTTGTGGATTAAACAGAAGCGTTTCCTTTGCTGGCCAGGCTCTTCCTTTTTAAGTCATGCACTTTGATGACACAACCAAGCGGCTGTGACCTCACCAACGGCTCCTGAGTCGCAAAAGGACCGAATGAATCATTAAGCCAGTGGATAAGTGGATAAGCAAAAGGAAGAGGCTGCTGCTTTGGAAAGAAAGCGCCTGTTTACCCAGAAAGGCTTTTGTAGCCAGCAGGGACAGGGAAACGGCGACGGGAAGTTTAGCAACGGATTAAAAGAGACCTTTTGCAAGCTGTTACGGCGGATGTTCGACAGCCTGTCTACATGTGGTGGTGACCCTCTGAACCGAGAATGTTTTGCCTCAATTTGGACAGTGGGCCAAGACTCTGACCACATTTATGCCACTCTAAGTACAGGAACGATTCGCTGTTTTCTGCATTTTCTGCCCTGGGTATAATCCACCACTGCACGTCAGAGCATCACAGGCTCCAATTTAGAGTCCACACAATCGGTCCTAATGGCTGGTGCGATGAAGAAATCAAGCCACCCAGAGTTTTTAAAGACCTATTCTTTGCTCTCCTATTACCAACAGCCCTAGTCATTTGATTCACCAAATGGGGTTTTCACCCTGACTCTCATGCTTGAGACAGCCAGACCAGAACTGGCATAAAATCCTTTCACTGGAAAGCCCTAAAACCTCTCAGTGCTTATCAGCTTTGGTTGCAGACCAGGGTGCTCAGAAACTCCCAGAACTGCTCCCACCATAAAAATGCTCATGAACCCCTTAAATCCCATCTGCTTAAGCTTTCAGCACTGCACTTCTCTCCAGCTGTGCCTTGAAGAAGCTTTTTGCCTTCAGTTAAATGCTGTTAAAAGCAGCATCTTCACACCGCCCTTTTACTGATCACACAGCTCTCCCAATGTTTATGATATTATAAGAACACAGAGAGCTCCCATCCCAATCTGGATTTCAGTGTCGTCGTCAGACAACAAAATAAAGGAAATCCCTTTCTATCCCTCTATGCAATAAAGCCAGCTTTGGGAAACACCTCTATTTCAGCTGGCTTCACCATTTTGCCAGATTTGTTTCTCCTCTTATCAGGACAGCCACAGGATCCAGTGGTTGCAAACAGCCTCTGTGAATTTAAACCGAATTTTGGGGGGAGCTCCGAAATGCTCATAAAAACCAATTCCATTTCTCCTTAACAACCTTCCTCATTAAAGCATGAAATGAGCCAAACCCCAGCTACAGCCTTTGCTCAGATGTCAACCCTGGGCACCGACAGGGTGCTTTTTTACATCCAGTTTTACATGAGGCCGTGGCACAAAATAGCTGGTGCTGGGAAGAGCCCCCAGATAATGCAGGGCGGGGGGAGCACTGGGGTGGATCTGCTGGGAAGGCAGGAGGGAGATGGAGGTCTGGAATATCCTGTGCACTACGTATGCTCCTGTTTTCACAGAGAGAGGAGAGAGGGTAAAAAACAATAAGGCAATGGACAGAAGAAAGATTCATAAAGTGCTAGAAGGAAAGAGAAGGGAGGGCAGAGATTCAGATAGGGATCAAAGAGTTAACCACAGACTGGAAGGAACGAAGGGTACGGGACAAGAGGAAAGAAAGAGATGGTAGAAGGGAGCATCAGCAAGGAAAAGGCAGCAAAGACACTTGTGCAGGTCTGGAATATCCTGTGCACTACGTATGCTCCTGTTTTCACAGAGAGAGGAGAGAGGGTAAAAAACAATAAGGCAATGGACAGAAGATTCATGAAGTGCTAGAAGGAAAGAGAAGGGAGGGCAGAAGATTCATAAAGTGCTAGAAGGAAAGAGAAGGGAGGGCAGAGATTCAGATAGGGATCAAAGAGTTAACCACAGACTGGAAGGAACGAAGGGTACGGGACAAGAGGAAAGAAAGAGATGGTAGAAGGGAGCATCAGCAAGGAAAAGGCAGCAAAGACACTGCTGGAATTAGGGGAGAGTCAGAAATAATGGTGTATAGATTGGCAAGCAATTACCATAATTTCAAACACACGGATGAATTCATCCAACCCTTAACGATCCAGTCCAGCCCCCACTAAAACCCCCTTGACTCACGCATGAATAGATAAATACCAGAGAGAAAGTCAGAAAGACAAGGCTGCTCATTTTCTTGCTAAGAGCAATATATCCTACAGCAAATTCTCCGCCTCCTCAAAAAAGTTCCCCAGAACTACCAACCTGGCAGGCTTGCTAAACAAGATTTTTTTTCCCCCCAAAGAATTAATGTGCCCTTTAAAATCAAGACATTAATGAAGGAAGCAATTTGTCTCTAAGAATTTATTGTGATTCTTTATTGAGGGTTAAAAATTAATTGTGTACGAAGTTCTATAAAAATGTTTGTGTTTGAAAATGTTGCATTTTACACCATCAAAGTGACAGGACAGGGTTTCCTCATCCTCCCTAGAGATTATAGCAAACAAATAAAAAAGCATCACAGCTTTGAGGAAGTAGGACAGCAGTGGAAATGGGTAAGTGAGAAACTTCTGCAAAATTAAACTACCTTTAGCTGCCAAAATACATGTGTGGCAACTGAACCTATTTTTGAAAGTTTTGACCATGGTATCTTTTACCCTAGAGGGTCAACTCTTTTCAAACTTCTAATTAAGGCATGGAATAATTTCATGATCTAGATAATTTTATATGAATTAGGATCAACGTTAGCAGAAAAAAGAGAGAAAAGAGAGGTTACATGACCTGATGTGTCACGGTGAGATAATGGCAAATTCTAGAAGGGGATTGAGACGTTCTGACTCCTTACCCCTTTGTGCACATCTAGACCATGCAGGACCCTATGAGAAGTCAATTGTTTATAGTTTCAATTTGTTTAAATTATTTCTCATCCAGTTATTTTCTGAAAGATTAGGATTTCAAAATTATCATTGGAATACAAATGGCACTCATATCCAAATAGAATGGATTTTCTAGTAGAAAATAATGGCTGCAAGGGTAGGCTATCCCACAAATCAAAGCAAAATAAAGGCCAAATAACTTTTCCCTTCGTCTGTTTGAACTATAATTTAATATGAACGCTTAATTTCTGAAATACAATGAACAACATATACTGTGACAGCAAATCTGTTCTCATTCATCAAAAAAATTGCTGTCACAAAAATACTGACAAAATGAAGACAAAGAGGTGATGGAGGGATAAAACTTAATTTTTTTCCATTTGCAGAGGCCTCCACGTTGAGCAGTTTTCCACTGCATTAGCAGGTGCTCTGTCATACTAAATCAACAGACATGGTCAGGAAACAGATTTCACATCTTCAGGCTGTGTGTAGCTAACAATCATAATTATGATACAGTTGGCTTTCTGTGTGTACTTTGCCCCAGTCAAACCATGGGGAAAAAATGGTTTGAAAAAATATACCATGTCCACAGCGAAGATCACTGAGACGGGAGACCAACCGAATCAACGTAAGACCGACCAACTCAAAGAAGGCAATTTCTGTAGCGTGGCTTCAGCAACCACACCCAAAATTCTGCTCCTTGATTCCCCAGTTTGTTTTTCTCCCATCACTACAGGGTGACTCGCTGTGACAGAATGAGCAGCACATGATCTCATCTTGTGTAGTCACCAAAA